TTGGTGAAAAATTCTTTATAGTTGTTACAAACTATTGATACTAAATTACTAATATCAATAGCAAAAGTTTTTCTCCTATGGATCCAGTAACAGACAGCATCTTTTTGTCCTAACTACCTCTACATGTCAAAACATGAAAGAATGCTTTGCCTGCACTGCTAAGACACCAAATCAAGATAAAAAAAGAAATACGAGGTCTAACTTCAGGCTGCATAGGGTAAAATTTTGTAAAAGACCATCAAAACAAAATAAGAAATGACAAACTCTGCAGGTGATTTACACAAGGATTTACACAGTTACTTGATGATTTAAATAACTGTGACTGTAGGTACTAGTACCTTGAATTTCTGATCCTTATAGCGATTATCTCTGATGGAAGAACGCAAATCCTCAACCTTCTTTCTCTCTACTATTAAATCAAGAACATATTCAGAATCATGATATTTATGACGAGCTATCCAGATTTCATCTCCTACCGGCAGCCGCCTGACCTGCAAATAATTTTGATGAAAGCAATACAAGGGCAGTCAGGCAAGTTCAAGATCGTGGAATATTTTTTTTATGTATATGACATTCGTTAACTCGACAGTATACTACTTCATTGCGCTATGTGATAATCCAACTTGATGTCGATATAGAATTAGCATATTTGGGTTCACGTAAACACTATCAGTGCAAACAAAAAAAATACATAACTGTAAATATATTATGTATCTAAACATGATAAGGCGCCTGGATTATTAATTTTTTGACATGAAATAAGTGAAGTGAGTTTCATAATATATACTGTTGTGAAAATGATGTGCGCTAATCATATGTTAATTTAGTGCCTCTCAAGTCATCTATAAAATTCCAAACTCATAATATAAGAAGACAGTGATTTTTGTTTCATGAGAAAGGGTTATTAGCAACATCCGCTAAATAAATTATCAATTTAAACAAAAGACATCTCAAACTTTTTTAGAAAATGTTTTACGTACTAGAATATTTTCGTTCGAAAGATGATCATATTTGTCTAAAAATTTGATAGTTTGGAATTATCTATTGTGAAAATGTCTCCTCTCCGACTCTCGCTCTGTCACTCTCACTCTCTCATTCTCACTCTCCTCTCCGACTCTCTCTCGCTCTCACTCTCCTCTCTGACTCTCCGGCGACTCACAGCCTCGACTCCGTCGCCGTCTCTCCGGCCTCGACGCACGGCCTGGACTCCGTCTCCATCTCTCCGGCCTCGTCTCCGTCTCTCCGGCCTTGACCGTCAACTCCCCCACGGCCACACCTCTGGCCCTCGCTCTCGATCGCCTTCAAGTAAGTTCGAATCCCTAATCTTTAATCTAATAATCCACATTGAACTCCTGAGGGGGCATTCTAATTAGGATTTTGAGTGGAACTCTAGGTTCTTGCTCAAGAGCGAGTTCCGACTTTCTCTCTTGCGGACCACCTTTTCGAGTGGAAAACTCATTCATTCGGAATGGTCACAGATTGAACAAGATTCAATCAAGGTGTGTAAGAAAGATTTTAGGCATCTGGGGGTAGCAGATACACAATAGTTGCATCGGCTAAGTTATCCCGAAAGATGTATAACTACTGAATGGATAATAAGGCCATTTGTCAAGGAAAAGAAAATGAAGAGTCTTCACATTAGCATAATTGTTCAAATGAAGGCTCCGGCATTCCTGTTAAGGATTCGATTGTTCCATAGCTTCAAAGCTTGGAGGCCTTGCCCGCTCTCCGTTCTAAAATAGAGAAAGGGAATAGTGGGGCCAGGGAAGAATTATAACCAGGGGAGTTGACTTGAGTTTGTATACGACATTCTTTATTTTGTAGCTTAGAAGGCTGTACCCATCCGTGATCTATCTATCAGATAAGAAGAATTATAGTAGGAAGACAGCACCAACCGATCTGGACTTTCTTTAAGGGGGAAACTTAGAAGCTCGACTTGAAGGCCTTCCTCAGAACTAACTATCAGGGGAGCCCATACCTAAGAGAGTAGTTTGACTGGCAAATGAGTCTTTCTATCTATTGTATTAATACCGCTGTCGCTAAATCTTTCCGTTGAAGAATCGGATGAAAGACTGCCAGAGGAAGGCTAAACTCTCGGAGCCTAGTATTAGCACTTCACTTACGGTTCTTCGATCTGAGGTCAGAGGAAAGTAGAACTATTAATCAGAGCCAGCATTTGCTGGTTGGTGGCTTCTTTAAAACGAGCATTCATAAAGTGGTCCCAGCGGTCTAATGGGTATAATGTCTTCGACGTACAGATCTGATTTAGTTAAATCCCTTTGCCAGGTCTTAAATGAATTCTATTTCGGATCCCGGTGTAGAGCAGACCATGTTTGTCTTTTCAGTTGTTGATTATATGGGAATAAAAGAAATGGCAATGTTACTTATCGGGTAGGCATTGACTGTAAAAGAAAATGGTTTGCGTTAAACTAACAATTGCATGCTTTCTGCAGGATCCACTTATATAAATATAAGATGGGTAACATGTGTTGCTATGTCCAAGTTGAGGAACGTACTGTAGCTATTACGAAGAGGTTTGGAAGGTTTGACAGAACCCTTGAACCTGGCTGTCATTTTGTACCATGGATTTGCGGGTATCAGCTCGCCGGGAAGCTGTCACTCCAATGGCAGAGCTTGCTTGTGAAATGCAGAACAAAGACCAAGGTTTGTTCAATCTTTTTTCTTTTCCTTTTCTCGTTTCAGTTCTGTGAGATGACAGACAGCCTGTCACTTGTTACCAATTAACATGTAAATGCTTGAATAAGTAATGACCTCACGTGATATTTTTCTCACAGGACAATGATTTTGTCAATGTTATTGCACATGTGCAATACCGAGTCCATCAAGAAAGACAATATGAGGCCTTTTACATGCAGAGGAATCCAAGACGTCAGATCCAGGGATATGTGCTCAAGGGTATGTGCCAAATAAATTTCATCACATCAGTATAAATATAGTATTGGAACAAATTTGTACAATTTACATGCGAAAGTAGCATACTTTAGTCCTTCAACTAACACTTTGGGTAAGCAACGACTATTGCATGCTTGATTCTGGTGTTTCAATCATTCCAGTGATCGGAGCTATGGTTGCGGTGCGAAACATGGACGAAGTTTCTGGGCAAAGGGATGAAATTGCCAAAGCTATTATGGAAGAAATGAAAGAGGTAGTCCACTCTAGACTTCTTGATGTTATTATGAGAGATAAACTGAACTGGAGTTCTCTAAATTTTGCAGCCTGTGGGTCTCAATGGATATGAGATTCTGCAAGTCCAAATCTGGGATGTAAGTTTGGATAAGGGACTTGAGCAAGCTATGATTGAAGCCAAGAATGGTAAGCTTGAAATGACAATTACCAATTGATTCTAGATAATTGTTCATCATGGTAAAATTTGATTTGTTTTTGTGGGTTGCAGCGAAGAGGAAGGCTGAAGTGGAGAGACACGATGGTCAAGAAGTGTCCACGTCCGCTGCTATGTAGTAGATACACGATGGTTAGCAATCCAATGGTAGAATTCTTTTGTCTTCTGTTCTGTTTGGGAAGCTTGATTGTGGAATGGTAATGAAGACGGTGTCTATATTTCTGTCGAGCAGTTTGTTGTGTATATAGGATGATGTGTTAAGAAGTCCTAATTTGACGAAAATAGGTGGTTTTGGTGTGTAAGCGTGTACTTCTAGTCTACTGTTTCAGAGGGGGCTTCTCTGTCAGATATAAGACAGTGAAAATTGAATGTTTGCTTCTCTGTACTGTTTGGGAAGCTTAATTGTTGAGCAAGTGTACTCTTTTTTTATATTAATACACAACAGATTGTTTGGGGTGTTCGTCCGCAAGTTTGGAAGTTGAAATGACAGTTGGTATAGGAGTTGCTGATTGGCTGTTAATTTTTATCTGAAGTAGTTTGGTGGCTGGATTTGGAGATATAGTGACAGGAGAAGGTAAAGAGAGATTCATGTTGAGCAATTGTACAGGGGCCATCAAATTCTTTTCAACATCCCAGGATGAAAGAATCGAACGATTTTGAAGGCATAGACAATGCACGGTCACACCATAATTTGTCGGGAGGCAGAAGATAGCAGCATGGTGGTTGTTTTTAATGCTTGTTAGAATTCTTTTGTCTTCTGTTCTGTTTGGGAAGCTTGATTGTGGAATGGTAATGAAGACGGTGTCTATATTTCTGTCGAGCAGTTTGTTGCGTATATAGGATGATGTGTTAAGAAGTCCTAATTTGACGAAAATAGGTGGTTTTGGTGTGTAAGCGTGTACTTCTAGTCTACTGTTTCAGAGGGGGCTTCTCTGTCAGATATAAGACAGTGAAAATTGAGTGTTTGCTTCTCTGTGCTGTTTGGGAAGCTTAATTGTTGAGCAAGTGTACTCTTTTTTTATATTAATACACAACAGATTGTTTGGGGTGTTCGTCCGCAAGTTTGGAAGTTGAAATGACAGTTGGTATAGGAGTTGCTGATTGGCTGTTAATTTTTATCTGAAGTAGTTTGGCGGCTGGATTTGGAGATATAGTGACAGGAGAAGGTAAAGAGAGATTCATGTTGAGCAATTTTTAAGCTTTCATACGATGAAGAGAGAGAGAGAGTGTGAGAGATCTGCAGGTGCAAAGTCACTAATTGAGAAGAGGGAAGGTGTTGAAATTTTTTTCCTCAAAAGATTAGTTTGAAAGCCGCGGCAGTGTGTACCAGATTCTCCTCTGCCTGGCGTGCATTCACAAGATTGGTAGGTCGAGATCGGTCGCTTTTACTTGTAAGTTGTAACTAAATATACAAACAGGGCAAACCATTGCCTAAATTAAAGAAAAACAGGGTTAGAAAAACTGAGGGAGCACTCTTTTAGTCAATTCGTAAACTACACGGAAATGGGAACAAAGATGACAAGGGATTAAAGCCACAAAAGTACCAGGACAAACCATTCATTACTCTTTTCGATTCGCCGCTTCATTGATGACAATTTCATGGAAATGAATGTTAAAAGCATTTAACGATAGAGAGAAAGAGGGGGGAATAGCTGAGCCTTTGATTTAAGCTATCAAAATTACAAGTTCCAACCATCTATTCTTTCTTGACAAGTAGTCCTAATAAAAGATCAAATAATACACAAACAAGAAAGACATCTGACTGCTGCACATTATGCCTCAATCCCTGTATCCTCTCATCAGTGTTCTTCAGTTCATCTTGCTTGGCCTTCACGAGCACGAAGGTCACGATGGCAGGGCTCCTGGAGGAAAAGATGCCAATGGGGCTCTCCGGAGGCCGAGGCGAGCGCCTTCTTAATCTGCAGATCAAGACATCTTCGATAAAAAAGAAAAATAAAAGTAAGATTAGTACGTGTAAGTGAAAAAACAACGTGCTGACCTCGCAAGTACAAAACGGTATACTCAGACCAGTGAATTAAAACCTAGGATGGCATTAAGAACCCATCTCAAATAACAATGGCTTTAGAAAGAATGAGTAGTTCATGTTCAGCCTATTCTAGCATATCATAAGAGTATAATGGGATCTGCTGAAACCGTGATTTCGCATTTGTTGTTACAAACTGTGGTTGGGACAAAGCATACAAACTGTGAAACTTATGCAAGGGAGAAACCTTTGCAGCACTCATGATAGGCTGTGCATCAATGCCTGAGCTCTGCATTGCTTCTTGGGCTTTCTTTGAAGCCTCGAAAAGAGCTGGGGAGTTCTCCAGCTTTCTGCAACAATGAAGCCGCAACATCTACACCCGGTTTCAGAGCATCTGCAACAATTTGGAAAATACTCTGTGCAGTGTTTAAAAATCCCGAGCTCACTTCCTGAACGTGGTCAATCGTCTTCTCAACCTGCCAATTCAAATTTCAGAAGCAACTTCAAGATACCAATAACAGGGCTTTCACCGTTGAAATAATCTTTGCGACTCTTTACTAAAAAAAAAAAAAAATGCAGGAACTTTTACCTCCGTGATAGAAGAGAAAATCTAGTCTTTGGGGAGGCTGACAGCTCCAGCTTCATGGGGAGGCGAGAAGAGAGCAATGGAGCAGAGAGCGGCGAGCGCCGGATTTTTTCGAACGAGCGCCGGAGCAAGGACGGAGTGAGCGTCGAAGCAGGGGCGACCTTAACGTGCTTCATCCTGTGGTTCAGAACCAATAACAGTTGGGTATAACAATATTTCTGCCCCTTGCAAAACCGGGAGGATCATAGTCCACTCTAGATCCAAGGCAATCATACAGCCAAGCTTTTATCTTACCATCAATGGCAGTGGAGAAAATAAACTGCAGTAATGAAAAAGTGAGTTATATAGTCGACTCTGGGAAACTGCTGTCAAAATAAATTTACCAGCTGCACATCTAATTCGGAAAAACTGGTAATACAGTCTGCTTGAAATGATAGAGTATAAGCCAAGAAAGTAGAAAGCGGCAAACTGCTCTCAAAGCAGATGAACCTGAATATTTTCCTTGTAACGTGGGCAGACTGAATACACTGGAGCTTCATCGGAGCAGGGGTGGCCTTAATGTGCTTCGTCGGCGACGGTGGGGGAACAGCCACTTGACGAACGCTGGAGCAGCGAGCGAGCGAGCGAGCGTCGGATCGCAAGAGAGGGAGACCTTTGCTTCGTCGGAGCAGGGGTGGCCTTAATGTGCATTGTCGGCGAGGGCGGAGGAACGACCGCTTGACGAACGCCGGAGCTGAGAGCGAAGATGAGGGAGACCTTTGCTTCGTCGGAGCAGGGGTGGCCTTAATGTGCTTCGTCGGCGAGGGCAGAGGAACGAGAGCTTGACGAACGCCGGAGCTGAGAGCGAAGACGAGGGAGACCTTTGCTTCGTCGGAGCAGGGGGTGGCCTTAATGTGCTTCGTCGGCGATGGCTGGGGATGGCCGCTTGACGAACGCCGGAGCAGCAAGGAACGGCGGACCAGCGAAATCTCAGCGCGAAAAATTCAAAATTTGTGTGCAGGGCAGAGAGGGGGAGACACCTGTTTGCTTTTCTTCTCCTCCTTCGGATGAGGAAACGAAAGGACGGATAGGACTTAGGAATAAGAGAGAATATGCGAAAAAAGCAGAGCACCGGCTAGCATTCAGGCTAGGTGATAGGATGAAAATTACTTTTTTGTGGAGGAAATCGGGGCTGGTGAGCCGGCCCCACGGCTCCACGTGGAGCCACGTGGATTCGCATGACGCTTCATGAGTGGTTCGGGACCACGCTGACTTGGCGATCCGAGACCACCTAATATTTTCTCATTAGTTACTAGTGTTATTACCAGTCACTCACTCACTCGGATAATCTCATTCGACGTGGTTGGTCGGTCTATCAGAGGCCGACACGTGCTCTTCTCTCTTCTCTCTCCCGTTCGCTCCTCCCCCACCACCTCCTCGCGTGCTGTTATGGGGACGGTGGAGAGAATAGAGAGAGAGAGAGATGCTCATTAGACCTTGAACAGTCAACTTCGAACAAAAGCCAATTTGAGACCATCTCTCCTCCCTTATATATATATATATATATTAAAAATGGAAGCTCGCCTTTTGCGGGCGGGTGGATCCGTGGATGGACACTCGACAGCTTTTCTTGCTCTTTTTTCAATTCTTCTCCTTTGTTATATATATTAACAAAGCAACGACTGAGTTATAAGGATGAAAGGGTAGGTTGCTACTTCAGGACGGTTGCTCCGATCGATGGAAAAGTCATCCGGGATAAAATAGTTGTTGATTGTGCAACCGTTATGTGAATATATGAAGACATTTTGGCTCTTTAGGCTCATTTTCGTGCTCTGTAATAAAATCCTTCCAATGTCAGCACACTCATTTATCCCGATATTGTTATTGAATAATATAAAAAAATTCTCGTACAATCACCACGCCACCACGGTCATTGGCATGCTCCTAGACATATAGCTTCACCCTAACTCAGGAGAACTTACACCGCTGCAAATATTCGCAAATTGAGCCAGACAACAGTACTCGTATGATAGTCATTTAGCGTTGCATCATCTTTCAAGTTTAGAGATGGAAATCTCTATTCAACAAGTGAACGCAACACCATCCACGACCCGATGACGGTAACTAGACGAAAAATAGAATACATTATCAGCAACCTTTCAAGTTCGACTACAAGGTCAGCGTCGTCGTTGATTGAGAAAAGCTTAGATAGAGAGGCTCAGCCTTCGTCCTTGAGGTTCCTAACGATGTCGCTTAGGCCGACCTCCAAAGGAAAAGCTCAAAAAGAGAGGAAACCTTTCTCCTTGAGGCTTTCAACAGTGTCTCTTAGGCTAACTTCCAAGAAATGAGAAATTCACGCCATACCTTCTACTTTTTCCCTTGATATCCTATGAAGCCGACACAACAGGTTTGTCGTCTTCACATATGTGTTCAAAATGCATGATTCATGCAGCATTGGCGAACGTTAGGGTATATGCTCGACTTAAGACCACTTCTCGAGTTGCTCATAAGAGAAAAAGTTACCTTTTAATCTATGGACTGGAACAAAAATGGGAACTTACTTTTTCTGGGAGGTGCAATGTGGGATAAAGATGGTGCAAGATCTTTGAGGCGTCGCGACGGTGCATTGCTCCTCCAACTACACAATATCTGCCACTAGCTAAAGGATTTTCAAGAGCTTAAATGTGTGCTTGTCCAACGTCTCGGACATCAACAAATCCGTAGGACGCATTGGGAAATTCTTCAGTTCCCACATCATACGTGCCTTTGATTATTCCCGCTGCAGACACCATTTTCTTAAAGGAAAATCACTTTCCTAGTGCAACTGGGTTTCTTCTTGCACATGGAAATGAATTACGGGTACGTTTGGTTCAGTATTTTGAAAGCCCCTTTAGGGCCCAAAGCCCCTTGGGGAAAATTTTGGGTGTTTGGCAATTATTCCCACAAACAACTAAAAATTGACAAACATAAAAATGTACAAACTTTAGTGGAATGGATTTGAAAGCCCCTTTGGGGCTCATCTACAATTGATTCATTCACAAGAAATCATCATAGGTCAAGGTATGCGTCTCATCTATTATGATATTGTGAAAACCATCTTGCTCTAAGATTTTGGGTATGATGTTTATGCAAATATTAGGGTTTGATTTACATAGAATTGATTTGATCTTACATGAATAGCAACAACTCAAGTGCTTCTCCTTTATTGCCCTGTGTATCACTAGCTCAAAGAGACTGCCGCTCACGAATTGCATTATGCAACGGCTCCTTATTTGAGGTTATTTTTGCAATTTTCAGTCACAAACCCTCTTGTCACAGATCCATACCAGCCAACCCCACATTAAACTAATTAAAATTTTTTGTATCTTACCTTATCAAACCAACCCGTAAAACAGTAAATTTTAATCTCAATTAATCTAGCCCGCATAAAAAAACACTTACATCCCTTTCTCCGAATATACACGGAAATGAGTTGGAATTTAAATCCCCTTCAATGTGCGCGTATATCCTTTTCCATATTAAGCCATTTCTTCTTGATTTCTTTCCAAGAAGCTTGATGTGTGCCCGATTGAGCTCTCCCTTTCTCCGATATTCGTGCCGTTCGCTGTGCCTCTTTCTTGGACGAGAGTATGGCTGAATATTGCCCGAATCTGCTTCCTCTTTCCGGATTCTTGTCGAGAATATTGTCTTCAATTACGGCCAGATTTTTCTCATCGATTTTCGTCCTTAACGGTGCATATTATCTTTGCCTTCCGGAGACGATTGCCCCAATCACGTGCCCACCTTCCTTGCCAAGAATCATATATATTTAGCCCATGTTTTCCTTTTTGCTTCGCCCCAGAATCTTTCCACGAGCTAAATTTCCCATCTTGGACTTTGCTGAAATTCCTTTTACTTTCCCAACTTAGATGACCAATGCAGGGCAGACGTGGAATTCAGCTACGCAATCCACCACCGGGTCAATGAAATTATTCAATGCGCACATGCTTTAGAATGCCTAAATTCAACACAATATTAATATTTTTGTTTACGAGTCAAACTTGATTCCTTTTTTTTTTTTAATGTAATGAATGGAGTAAATTGAGTAACCAAAATTTAGGTGTCAACAATACCACGCTATAAAGTATGTTGGCCAGCAATGATATAACCTCAAGGGTTTTTGCCAGATGATTTAAACGTCAGGTGAATGATAGATAAAAGTTGCATTCAATTGAGGAACAATTGAATTTAAGGGACAAAAACACCTGTTCCGTCCATTTCGAGGACTCGAAGGAAAAGGAGAAACCTGTCCATTTGAAAAATATTCCGGACTTCTTTTGCTGCTCTCATTTTTGTCTTCCTCACAGCCGCTCCAACCATAACGTCTCCAGATTTCGTCCAATTCTCTCAGAACTTCTGAAATTTCTCGTCATTTCTCCAAATTTTAAGCTAATTCTATGACCGATATATGAAGATTTCGTCCCTCTTATACTTATTGCTCTATGTTTTTTTCTCTCTCTATTTTTACCCTCCACATCAAGGAAATCTGTCCGGAGGGGTTCAAATCCTATGCGACCCAACCTATACGAATCCCCAGGAGTTCGTCTATGAGCAAGGCCAAGCTGGAATTATTAAAGCCACGGTTTTCGTTATGTTCGATAATCGGATCGAAGTCGGAGTCCCACTTGGTTTTTGTAATTATATCTCCTAATCTAAATCAGGATAATAGAGAACAGACTCAACTTATCACAACTAAAAATTCATAAAAATGTACTTCACTCAAGCAGATAATAAATAAAGCAATATTATTTATTAGTTGTGGAATGAAACCACAAAGTTATTACATAACTCAATCAATTGCCTTTGTTCAGATGAAAGTCCAAAACTTTAGTGCAATGAATAGATCTTCTGGCAACCCTGAGAGCATGAATCCGCACAAGCTCTGACTTTCTTCACGTCCACTTCAACTTTCTTGGTGTCTGCATGAGTTCCAATAAGAAACAAGAAATTAAAAATGTTACTTATATCAGGATTGAAGTTCATTTTTTTTTAACAAGAGCATATATCGAAGTCCAAGAAACGAAATAATTTAGTACGCAGCTAGCTCTCGTAATTAAAATATAACAACGAAACATTGATAAAGAAACAAGATTATACAATAACTTTCTTGGTTTTATGAATTTGATAAGAAGCTACGTTCTCGATGCGAAGATTATTACCCGCATGATAGTCCATGCAAGTAGACAAGAAACAACCGACATCGCAATGCTCTAGTGCCGCAGACGTAGGGGGCCCTGTTAAGCAACGATTGATGCAGTCCGCACTGCATTGCAATGAATCGGGGTCAAAGATACAGAAAAATGCACACTTCAATGCACATTTCGCAGATATGCGTGCGTCGGCTACGATGGAAGACGACAGTATCAGAACCGCCACGAACATCATTGACCCCATTCTCTTGGATGCTGTTACCTCCATGGCCATATACACCCCACCTGTTATTAACCTCTCTCTCACGTAATGAGTTTTGAGCTAGTGTAGTGAGGTGTTGAAATGAGTAGCACCTTTATATACTGAGATATCCATTCAAGTTGCTGAATGAGTTGATGAGTAAAGAGGTAAGAAAAGGAAATTATCTTTTCCATTTAATGATAATATGCTTGACCTTATCCTTTAGTCGATTTGGAAATTTAGCTGAGAATTTCTTTTTTCTTACCAAATTTCAGGTCCAGTAAAGAAGGTGATATTAGTTGCCACCTATTGCGAGATTTTCTTCTAAATGTGGGTACTTGTCAAATTTGATCTCGTCAGCAACGAAACTGTACAGGGACAAGTATCAGGTATATATACACCTATCTCGGTGATTTCCCCTTCTTTTGGCAAACTATTGAGTTGAATATGCATGGTAATTGCCTCGTATATTATGCACAATCAGGCCGCTCAAAATGGGAAAATAGGCATGGTAATTGCAAGTTTCTGGATGACCCCAAGGCATTCGACGAACATCAGTAGGAAGGCAGCCTCTACAGCTCTTGACTTTCAGTTTGGATGGTAAGTATTTAATTTATCAGAAGGTACGTAAAAATTTATTCCCCCTAATA